CTGGCAGTCGCCACGGCAGCATAAGGATGGGTTCACAGGGGAGGGAGACCCATGATCCGGCGCCGGACAGACCATTTGGATCAGTGCATCAGATGTGGAGGTCCTGGTTTGAGCTGACATTTTTTATGGACAGTTGGGTTTTTTTTTTCTGTCTCTCAACTTCTGATGTTGTTCTGAGCTTGGCCTTAGAGGTACAAAAAGTGATGCTCTCTAAAATCAATAATTAAATACGCTTTTTCATTTTTGAAGGTGAGTTTGTGTTTTTTATGTGACCTGCATGCAGTCCACGTCAGATCAGGCATTATTCTAGGCACTCTCTGGCACTTCAGGACCCCATTGAGTCTTTGGCAATCACTTCAGAGCAACACCAAGCTTTTTCTCCCTGCCGGTCGCCCTTCAACCTGCTGCTCTGCTGGCCTGGCCTGCTCAGCGAGGACCTGGATCTTCCGGGGGACACGTTTCAGCCAATCCCGGCTTCCCCCCCCCCAAACCTTGGTGGGGTTTTTAACTCTATCTAGGACATTCTGCCCCCATCCCTAGGAATACAGTCTCCACCAGCTTCTTCTTTATTAATTAATTTGGTTGCGCTCCTCTGGATTTCGAGATCATAGAGTTCTGGAGAGAGGCACCTGTACTGGCCTGCCTGACAAAGCACTGATGGACTGGCTCTATCCTTTTAAGTTATCTGTCATGCTAATTTGCCGAGATATGACCTTTGGGGAGAGCAGAAATTGTGGAAGGCTTGACAATTGTCTGATTATTCTGCACTGGATCATTTTCCTGGGATGAAAAAGCAGGGCTTTAGAATTCCTGTAACAGGCTCAGAAGTGTTACAAAGAACAACTACGATATAAAAAAGAATCACCAGATTTGGAGCTGTAGGGAAAATGTGGGAAAATCAGAAGGGCTGCTAATGAACAATTCCCAACATGCTCAGTAGATCTATCACATTCAGTAAAGAAATTTGCTTGTTAACGGAATCCAGCAGCAACCAAGAAGAAAAAGCAGATGTTGAACATCATGGCCAGCCTGAACTCCATAGCTTAGACTGGCCTTGATGTCTGTGCCATTTAGGGGAGGTGGAAATATGTGTCCTCTCCCCTGCCACTTTGGGGGCGGGTACTGAAGGTGTGGGATGACAGATGCCTCACGGAGACTCATGAAGACTGAGAATCTGCGGGTATTATCCTCACTTTGGCCAATTTCCCGTCTCACGAAGCCGGCAGCATTTTGTAGTTCCCTCTGTGCGTATCAACAGAGTCACTCTGGATATCACGTCATAAAATCGCTAAACTCGAGCATGCAGCTGCCGCATCGATCAACTGACCGCGCTGGGCCACGCTGCGATGACACCCCGGCTGTTTCCATCGATCCGTTATGCCAAGATAATTCTGTAATTACATGTTTTGTCCACAAGATACCCCATTCAACTGCAAGCTTCACACAGCCTACATGGTCATTAATGGGGATCCATTTAAGTCAATTATAACTATTATTCAAACAGGTCAACATAATGTCTTGGTGTGAGTGTTTGATTGTCCAGATTATAGTCATTATGTGACAGATCAGGAAGTTGGTGGAATTACGAGCCCAGTGAAGGGTAAGCAAAGCACATTTAACTGGATGTGAGCTGTTTATGTTCACATAATGATACGTGAGGAAGTGTTTTAATGTCTTACTTTTGATATTTCCTGTTGTCGAGTAAGCAGAGTGTTCTAGAAGCTGACCAGTGGAAGAGTCCCTGCCTGAATGTGAGGTTTTATTACAGCGGACTACAGACAGAGAGGACTGTGAATAGCAAGGCTTAAGAGCAGGTGTGACATCAAGCACAACCTTGCTGCAGAATGGGGTGTGGTTCACACACGTAAGGGTGGGGGGAGGGGATCCTAAAAAAGTTATCATGGACTTCTGATGTTGCATCACTGCTCTGGGCGCACAACGGAAACCCTTCGCGTGAAGATTTTGCAATCAAAACACGATTAGAGGTTTTTCCGTGGGGCCGCAGGAGATCAGAGCTGCGGTGGCTGCTGCTCAAAGCACAACAATTTGCAGCACGGCGGCAGCCCGTCTCTCTCGGAACATTCTTCGGCTTTTTATTTGTTCTGTTGCATTTTGCCCCTTGCCGCGACTAACCAAGGTAACAACAGCGCTCTTCAAAGGCCTTTGA